GAAGAGTCTGTTGATGTGCTTTGATTAATATGCAATAACTGTATTTCTTGTTCAGTTGGGGTTAAAGCACTATGGTCAACCTGCATTGGAACAATGTGGCATATATTAGTAATATTGTAAAATTGGTCAGTTTCGTAACATGAGTTGTACTGTGAGTAATGTGAGTTAAGTGTTGAAATATGTTGTTTGAAACTGGAAACTTTTACAGTTTCATAACATGGGTGATGTTAAATAGATTTGTGCGTTTAAACTGTAAACTTTTGCAGTTTCATAACATGAGTGATGTTAAATAGCTGTGTGCTTTGAAACTGCGAACTTTTACAGTTTCATAGTATGACTGTGAAAGGAGTGTTGAATAGATTTGTGCTATGAGAGTATAGAAGAGTTTGAATACCTTTTCAAAGTCAGCAAAACTGATGTGTTTCCACTTGGAGTACATTTTGCCAAGATTCCACTTCATAAATCCTGGAAAGCCTTCTTTGTTGGATGGTTGGAGGAGTTTACTGTGCTCACAATACTAGTATTGTAAAAAAAATTGAAATATGTTAGATAGTATGAAATAGGTGGATGTTTGATATTTTTTTGTGAAGTAGTTAAGTAGTGTGTTTACCAAGAGTAACATGACGCATCCAGTGACATGCCTTGGGTTGTTGTTTGCATTTGCCATTGAATTCATGAGTGTCTTTTATTGCCTCAACTCAATTGTACTTCTTGATGTTGTTGAGATTGTCAACATAGTTGAGGAAACTCCAACTGAGTGTATGGCATGTTGTAGGCATGAGAAGTTTCAAGCACAAGTAAAGGGTGATGACCCTTACAAGATCTTGATGATCATTGATTGATTTTCCTTTTTTTGTTTGTTGAAACATTTTGGTTAATGACTTGCCATCCAATCTGTTTACTGATTTGCATTTTCGTTTGTAAAATGCAAGCTCAAAATCCTTTGGTCTTGCATAGGATTTGGTAGTGATGTTGTCTTCTCCACAGTCGATACCAAAAATGCGCCTGACATCACTGTTTCTAAGTTTCATTTACTTTTTGTCAAGTATAAATGCTCTTTTTCTTTTGTTGTAGAGTGTTGTCATTTCTGCTATAATAGAATTGTAGCATCTGCACCAAGAGGTCTTCAGTTGTGTTGAGGAGAGAGCATTTATAATGGGCCAAAAAGGGATTTTTTTCCAGCTCTATCTATTGGGCTTTTGTGAATTTGGACCCCTTCAACAGTTTGATTACTGTTCCGATGTTGGAATGGTAATTAAACTGTTAGACTCTCTTTGCAGGGACTGCTCCTTTTTTCCCTTTTGATGGCTTGGTTTTTGTTTGGGGAGTTGATTGGCTTTCTTGGAGCTTTCTTTTTTTGGTTGGAGGAGCTTGTTGTTTTTTTATTGGCTTTCTTTTGTTTGTTTTTTTTGTGTGGTTGGAGGTGTGGTTGGTGTTTGTTGTGTGGGTGGGGTCTGTGGTGTAGTTCTTGGGTTTTTTCTTGTAGGTGGTGTGGTTGTTTTGTGGGTTTTTTTGGTTGTTTTTGGTTGTGGTGGTTGGGTTTTTTGTGGAGGGGGAGATTTTGGTGGCATTCCAGTGGATACAAGAGAAGGACTTTCAAAAGGGGAGATACTTAAATCCCTGATTGGATTTTTGGGCATACGAGGTTTTTTCTTCCAATATCTTCCAACAGCTATTTCTGAAAAAATGAAAGCGACAACAGGGCATGAGTAATATAGTGACAAAACTGTATAATTTTGTAGTTTTATATGCAGTTTAATATGAAGTTATATCTATTTATTGTTAACAGTTACAAAACTATATAATTTGACAATTTGATTTGCACTTTATAATAAGTTACCTATTTATTTTGAGTAGTGATTAAACTGTGTAATTTTGCAGTTTCATTTGCAGTTTGAATAAATTTAGATATGTTATTTGTAGAGTGATGAAATGAAACTATCTGATGTTTCAGTTTTTATAAACAGTATCAACAATAAGAACAGTCCATTATATTTTGTAAACAACAACAATAACAATGAGAAGATGAAGTATTCAATGAAATGTAGCAACGATACGAAGAATAAAAACCAATATTTAACAACAACAAGAAGCAAGAACAACAAGAATAAGAACAATGAGTTGAATGTGTAAAAATACGGATTTATGTGTAAAAACAGTGGATTAGAATGTTTAAAAACAGGGGACTAGAATGTTTTAAAATGGGGGATTATATATAAAAGAGGGTTTATACATTTTGAAGTATGTAAAATGTGTTTTACAAGAGTTTGTTTATGAAAGTGTTATTGAAACGGTATATACGAAATATGAAAGAATAATGTACAAATTTGAATGAAAAATAATAGGTGAAGAGAGATATTACTTTTTTTCCCCATTTCTGTGAATCGGAAGTCAAGAACTATGAAATTTCTTTAGAGTGGTGATGGTTCGTGTTGTTGAGAGTCGCCGATTAAAGAGGATGAACGGCTTGGTGTTGTGTTGGTAAGAGTCAATGATTGGAGAAGATGAGCGGGTTCGTTTTGTGGTTAGGGTAGGGTTTCAGAGGGAGTGGAGTCGAATGGTGGAGAGATGGAGGAGTGAGAATGCAGAGTCGAGCGGCGGAGATGTGACAGCGTACTGATCAGACTGAGATGATCATGGGTGAAGGTTGCGCACGTGTAAATTGGATGATATAGTGTGGGTATTTTCGTCTAATTGATAATTTGAGGACTTAATGGAGTATTAAATTTGTTTTGAGACTAAATGGACCATGATATGTTGGGCTTGGACTTTTGAATAAGTTCTCCTAAAGTTAACCCTTTCCAAAAAGTTGGGCTTGTGATCTTAGGGCGTCAACCCCAAACCTCATGGTCCATTGGAGGGCACAAAAACACTTGCTCGCCTACCAAGGGTAGTTTGACTCTTTTTTTTTTCCCAAATTAGTATGAAAATTGAATGGTGAGTAATATAACATGTGGGTGATGATATAAGGTCGCTGGAAAGTCATTAATGAAACCATGATGCATGTTTTTTGTTGCTTTTAACAGTGGCAGCACTCTTCTTCAACTTCCATTTTAAAAGGAATTTTCAAGATCAAAAGAAGCATATTACAACTGATTATTCTAGAAACAATAGTGGTAGGGACATTATATAATTGATTAGTTATTAACTTATGAAATGTAATTCAAGTTAATAAAATTAATGATAAAATCAAAATCAAAATATAAAAATTATATAATAAAAATAAATGATTTTAATTTGATACATGGCTGGATTAGAAAGAAAATTGCTAAATTAATTGATGTATGATTTTTTATTATTGATTACAAAATCAACCCTCTTTAAAAACTTGGGTGTAGAAGAACTATAAGGTTTGAACCTCAAACCTCATGGGGAGGTCACAAATGCCCCACATGCGGGAAGAATTTGGACCTAGATGCAAGCACTTGTGAAATTAGACAATTACTTTTTTTAATTGTCTAATTATTTATTTATAATTTAAAACATCATGTTTGGTTCTATTTTTTTGAATTATTTTTTCAAAAAATGATTTGAAAACTCTATTTTGAAAAAAGATCTTTATTTGGTTTTCAAAAAAATGTATTATTACAAATTTAAGTTTCCCTCTAATTTAAGGAGAGACAATTTTTAAAAAAAAAATTTGTCACATCAAAAAATACTCCCATGTTAGTTTTATATATATATATATATATATATATGTACATACTATATATGTATGAAAGTATAATTTGGTATGTATCTATTTATGGGTACATATCCTATTATTAAATGTGTGACTTTATCATAAAATTTTCATTCATTTAAATCATAGAAAATGTAATTTTTTTACAAATTGGCATTAAAAAAAAAGCCTTCATCATCTTCTTTATCCAGAGAAATTCTGAGAAGTCGGAGAGAAATTCTAAAGCATTTATCATCTTCTTTGTCCAGAGAAATTCTAAGAAGTCCAAAGAAATTCTGGACTTCCCAAAGAAATTCCAAAAGCCTTCATCATCTTCTTTGTCCAGAGAAATTTTGAGAAGTCCAGAGAAATTCCTAAAGCCTTCATCATCTTCTTTATCCAGAGAAATTCTGAGAAGTCGGAGAGAAATTCTAAAGCATTTATCATCTTCTTTGTCCAGAGAAATTCTAAGAAGTCCAAAGAAATTCTGGACTTCCCAAAGAAATTCCAAAAGCCTTCATCATCTTCTTTGTCCAGAGAAATTTTGAGAAGTCCAGAGAAATTCCTAAAGCCTTCATCATCTTCTTTGTCTAGAGAAATTATGAGAAGTCCAGAGAAATTCCTAAAGCCTTCATCATTTTCTTTGTCCAGAGAAAATTCTAAGAAGTTCAGAGAAATTTTGACTTCCCAGAAAAATTTCTAAAGCCTTCATCATCATCTTCTTTGCTCATCATCTTCTTCCTCAGAGAAATTCTGGGAATCCAGAGAAATTCCAAAACAAAATCACTTCCCAAAATATGCCTTGGAATAAGCAATTCCCAAAAGAGTAAAGAAGAACAATCTAACAAGAAAACAAATGTAATGACCCCAAAATGCGTATAAGAAGTCATCTTTATTTAACTATGAGATGATGTGTTTTCCTTTAATTATATCTATTCGAATTGAAGCATTATCTATTGAGTTACGGATTTAAAATTGAATTGCCGAACTTTATGGGTTCAGAAATTAAAATTGAGTACTCAGGTATGTTAATGGGAATTTTTAGAACTATTTGGAAAAATTAATTGGAATTCTAATTTGTCTAATTCGTTAATGCACGGTTGGGTGGTTAATTTTATACTGCAAATTGAAAACCTTAGAGGCTTCAGAAACCGGAATAGAGGGCATATTCAAGATCAGCGTAATTTTTAGAGTCATCTGAAAAGTTTAATTGAAATTTAATTTCGTACGATTCATAAGGCCACGTTTGGCTCTCCCTTGTGTTAATCTTGTGTGTGTATGTATATTTATATACATAGAAGCTTTATGAGTTGTGGAACTCAACTCTTTGAACCAAAATATCTAGAAAAAGGGAAAGTAACGTGAGAGAGAGAGAGTTCTTGAGAGAACTCATGGAGAAGAAGGGAGAAAGAGTTGGAGTGGAAGAGGAAATCAAGGATTTGGCTTGAATTCTTCATGGCTATGCAAGAATAAGTGGTGATGAAAGCTTAAGGTAAGAGTTTCCCTCTCAATATTTAAAGATCATAAGCTAAAGAGTGAATTTCTTGGATTAATTATGATGATAGGTATGGGTTTTGTTCCTTCAAGTAAAAAGGTGTTGAATCTTTGCATATAGCATGAATTCATGTCATAATTTAATTTCTTGTAGGAGTTTTATGGTTCTTAAGGAGGCTAAAAAGGGATTCCACCATGTAAGGGAGCTTGAACCCCAAACCATGGTTATTTTATGTTTTGTGTTCTAATTTGTAATCTTGTTCTTGTGATGGAGAAATTGAGTTGTATTTTGGAGTTATGAATTGGAATTGAAGCTAAGAATGTGAAATTTATCTTATATTAAAGGGTTTTGGGCTTTGATTTACATGTAATTAAGGTTTGATTTTGGAGATGAGAAACCCCAATTTTTCAGCCATTTTCGGACTGCAAACTGTCCAGGCCGCACGTGCGGCACTGTTCCCCCGCACGTGCGGAGACAGCTCTGTCCAGCCAACTTTGAACAAGCATATCTTTTGCATCCGGACTCCGTTTTGAGTGATTCTTGAGCCTAAAATCAAGCCCCGAAAGTCTAGTTTCTAATGGAGGTGGTCTCACACCCAAATTATAAATACAGAAATAGTTATTCCCAAATTAGTGACGACTGTTCACTTTCAGTCAACCAGTTTTGTACCATTTCTTCACTTAAACCATTTCCCATCGATTTCTCCTGTTTTCTGAGACATGAATTATAACTTATTAAAGAATAACGAGCTTGGTACCACCATGGTTAATTGATTGAATGATCAAAGAGAATAAGTAAAGGATCGAGTATAATCTTATATAATGTGTTGTGCAATGTATTTGTAGGTCGAGAGGAGGACATCATCCCATTACTACCAGGAGCCGATCACTATGAGTAATAGTACTACAAATGTACATGGTCTACCGTTAATAAAATTGTTAACAACATTCTATTCTCCGTGAGCTAATATGTTAACATGTGTGTTGATTGGGAATTGATGTGAACATTGAAAGAGTTAGCACACATCGGTATGACTCTGAACCTACTCCGTATTTTGGGTTATAGCTAATGATTATTGTCAATGTACCATCCTAAGAATTACCTATGATTCTGTATAAGAATTGCATACAAACTATTAACACTGTGAAGTTGGTTAATAGAAAAGAATTGCGTATCAATGACATTGTTATGTAATTCATGTTATGATATGAATTGTTCTGGCTTGTTGATGTAATGGTACATTTACCTTCGGATTATTGTTAATGTTAAGGTTCTGTTAATTACGAAACAAGTATGTCTACTTACAAAGAACCATGAGGAAATCTAAGCGCAACATTGTACCATATGTTTTGTTTGCTATTGATAATTAATGTTACCATTCTATTAACTGCTAGTTAGTGGCATTGAAACATGATGAGCAAATGGGATGTATATGCATTATGGAACTATGGTATCTACGTATTTCTGAAAGCGTTCAAGCTGTAAAATATGTTTACCTTTTGCTAACAATTATCGGCAACGTTCTGTTAAACTTATATTATATATGTTTATTCATGTGATTAATGGGAAGAATGTGTGTAATTTCAACATGATTCTGAAGTTAATCTGTTTTGATGTTTTCTGGTATGGAACAAAGTGCTGTACGGAACTAAGTGCTACACCTTGGTGGGAGCCACCTCTAGAATCCGTACGAGCCACCTCTTGAGTCCATACATCTGTTATTTCTGGGCCGATGGCCGTTCTGATATTTCTGGGCCGATGGCCGTTCTGTTATTTCTGTTATTTTTGGGCCAATGGTCGTTTCGTTATTTCTGGGCCGATGGCCGTTCTGTTATTTCTGGACCGATGGCCGTTCTGATATTTCTGGGCCGATGACCGTCCTGATATTTCTGGACCCATGGTCGTTCTGCATCTGTAGGCCTATGGCTGTTTTGTATATGCTGGGCTTAAAGCCACTCTGTTACGGAAACTAGACCCATGGCTGTTTTGGAAATAATTACGAAATGTAGTTAATCATATGTATCTGCAATTATATGTTTTGTTATTCAGGTTAAACATTACATTATTTATGTACTATTATTCACTGAGTTCGCTCATTCTATATTTTGCCTGTCTATTTCTGTAGGTAATCAACCGGGAGTTCAGTCCTAACCTTTAAGGCTCGTCTATCTCTTGTCAACTTTGATGCGTCCAGGCACCACCTGAAGCCGTGCATGTTGTAAAGTGTTGTAGGTTATTGATTTATGCTTTGGTTGTCTTTCATTAATATTGTCGTTACACGCCCAATTGTGGGTCTAAGTATGAATGTATAAGTGTGTAACCGAAGTTCGAGTGTATGTTTCTATATATTATGTACCTAATGCAATGTGTGCGGTCCTGGCATGGTAGTGGTAGCTCAATGGATGATGTTTTATGTTATTTTCTACTGATAATGCTTCCGCTCAGGCCCCATATGTTATGTATAACAGGTTAAGTGTCCGTTTCTGAATAGGTCATGCCCAAAACTTTTAGGGGCGGGTTTGGGGCGTGACAACAAATTTACCAAAAGTTCTAGCACAAACAAACTTAATTCAGATTCAATATGACCAAATTTGGGAGGAAAATTTCACAGAAACAAAACAGAGCAAGAACCAATTCCCATTCAGTCACATAAATTACAGTGAATATGAGCTAAACACAAGTTGTAGAAAAATACAAAATTCACAGACGAAAAAATTGAAAACCAAGTTAAATTATGAGAGAGACACCCCTACACTTGGCTCAACCTGCATTTTTGTTTCTTCCTTCCCACTACCAACCCCTTGGTGAAGCTGCAATAGCTCTTTGACTCTGATTATTCTTTGCTTTCCCATTAACCTTTGCACTATCAACACCTATAGACTTAGCTCCACCAAACCATATCTTTTTCGACAATTCATACGTTTTTTGTTTATGAGCCTTCGAAAAAATCCGATCCTCGCCCATTTTACTCTTGCTAGCATTGTTCTTATACTTCTTCTTCAACCTCCTCACTTTTTCAAACAATTGGGTTTTGCTAACATCAATGTGCAGCGATTTCTTGATGAAATCATAAAAAGCATTCATATCAACGAGCGGATCAGACCCTTTTTTCACAATATATTAAATCATACCTTTCAAAATCACAATCTTAGCGAGTAGTTGACCGTTGTTTGCCATTTTTGTAGAGAGGGAAGGAGAAGATTGGTGAGAGCTAGGGTTTAAACAGTATTGAAGTAGAGAAAGAAAAATGAAGTTTGATTTGAGAGAGTCAAATTTCTCCATGATATATGGGTGTGGGGGTTGAGGGGCCTTAGACATCATAAAATAATATTGTGGATCTCTTCCATTACTAAAAATGAGAGAGAGACCTTAGACTAATTTTTCCTAAAAAAAATCGTAACCAACTTACAAACTTTTGCAACATCAAATACAAAAAATTTGAACATTTTCTTATGCCAATTTCTGATGATGTTACTTTTTTTACAAATTGGCATTAAAAAAAATCGTAAGTAACTTACAAACTTTTGCAACATCAAATACAAAAAATTTGAACATTTTCTTATGCCAATTTCTGATGATGTTACTTTTTTTACAAATTGGCATTAAAAAAAATCGTAACCAACTTACAAACTTTTGCAACATCAAATCCAAAAAATTTGGACATTTTCTTATTGCCAATTTCTGATAATGTTATACATGTTTGTGTTAATGTTACGGTATTTTATGATAAAATAAATTTTATGCATAACATTTATAAAAATTTAATTCTATGTAATTTGTTTAATACTTACAACATAATTTTAAGGTGTTGAAATTCATAAATTTGTATTTTCAATTTCCAATTCATAATTTGTATTTCCAAGGCTGCAAATGGTTTGGTGAAGGTAATAAAGAAAGCAATGGGCAGTCCAGGAGGGATTAGGGAGTCTGGATCCCCTCCTTATCACCTCTCCTTCATCTCTTCCTTGCAACGGCTGAGACCAAACCATTTGCAGCCTTGGAAATACACTACAAGAAAAAGCATTTTTGCCGACCACTTTTAGCTACCAAAACTAATTTAGTCGCCAAAAGTCACGGAATTGGCTACCAAAAATAATATTAGTCGGCAAAAGTCAACTTTTTAGCTACTAATTTTTTTTAGTAGGGGAATGTTGATTATTGGCTACTAAAAAAAATTTAGTAGCTAAAGATATTACAATTGGCCAGTCGTTAAAATTAAACTAATTGAAAGTATATGGACCAAATGACATAACCGGTAAAACATAGGGACTACCAATTTAATTTACCCTTCAATTTAAAATGGTACATTGTTGACGGGACCTACTATGGTGTTTCAAACCTTTTTTTTTTTTTTTGGGAGGGGTGTAGACACGCCCTCGGGCCTCGCTACAGTTCAAACTCAATTTGTGTCGGTCTTGTATCTAATCTCGTAGAGTGCAATGCAAGACCGATGAATCATCAAAAAGTCCAAATCTGACAAATCGTTTTTTAAAACAGATTTTTTGAAAGAAGTGTCTATGCAAGAGTTGAGCTTGAAGTTAAGATGCAGATGAGTGTTGCCCCTTCAGTGCTGACACTTCAGAGTGAATATGGGAGACAAACTATTTATCTTTTAGCAGCTCATTTTCTACAGTTGTAGCCATTTGGCAGATATTGACACAGAAGTCAATGGTTGCTATTGCTTGGGTTAAATGGGTTTTAAAGGTAATATTGGATTGGTTGAGTACTTGACAGCATTTGAGAAATCCATTCTTAATGATTGGCTTCTACAAAGCTTCGAATGGAATCCTTGAGAAGGTTTTCAGCTCCAAGCAAGTGTCCACATCTACTTGAGTAAGAAAGATGGTTTCAACAGTAGATGAGCTTTTGATTATCTCTAATAAAGAGTCGGCCAAGACTAGTGGCTTAGTCTCACTGCCAGTTGGTAGGGCTGGTGTAGATATGTCAGATAAGCTTTCCAATTGAGCTTCGAAGATGTCCATCTCCTCTTCAGAAAGTGGCATTACAAAAGTGTCACGACCTAAACCCACCCCTATAGGTTTAGCATCGTAACCAGCCCGAAATTCATGATTACTAAAGGCCTGCTTAACAATAATGACAATAACACAATAATGGGGGGTTGGCGGAAGCCAATCAATAATAGAAAATAATGTCCAATGAGCTATGAGAACTTAAAGAACAAAACAACTTTCATATACTTATATATCCACAAACTCTTAAGTCCATAAAACACTTATATATAGAATAAAACATAAGTTAGGGAATTAAATCCCATTACCAAAAACAGTACAAACAAAAGTCGTAGTCTAGTCTTGACACTTAAATAAATTCAAAAGGGAGAATTTGGACCACCCAAGTCTTGACACGTGTTGGATTGGAACCTCGCAGTGAGGCGCAATAGTTGGCTTGACAAAAGGGTTGACGCCACTAACTCTAATCCGGTGCCTGATCACTTACATATATATATATATATATA